CTGTCAGTTACCTTTGTTATCATCAGTTGTAAAACATGACTTTTTTTGTTGTTCCTCTTTAGCAGGAAGAAGCAAAAGCAGCGAGTTGTGTGAAACAAATAATTAATCAGCTGCCTTGCAATGAAAGATATTCCTCTGACAATCCAGTCAAAGTTACCATCCTGGCAACTCAATGGAAATGGTTCTGGTGGAATTCATATTTTTCAAACCTTGTAGTAGAGTTGTCCAAACAACTGGCAAAATTCCCTCAGGTGAAAGTCTCTTTCCTGGTCCCTGAAGGTTCATGTGATGATGTGGACAAGAGTGATGCTAAACTTCATAATGTTACCATTGTTGAAGCAAAAAAGCGATGTGAATTTAATGATTGCACTGAATGGCTCTCCTACCCACCAGAAGGCCTCACTACAGACATTGTGATTGGTATGGGTGGGACACTTAACAAAATGGCCCAACTATTCAAGGAACGTCACCACTGTAAGAGTATATTTCTTGGTGGTGATGCTGTGTATGAAAGCCTCTCCAAAAATGTAGAATTGAGAGATGCCCTGGCTGAGAGTGAAGAGGAATTAGATGGTGGATGCAATGTTCAACCAATTATGGAAATGGCAGATCTTCCAGTTGCTGTTGGACCAAAGATGGCTGACAAACTTTCTGCTTCATTCTCTCGTCAGAAGAAAACAGTTTTTGAGTTTACTCCAGGTATACTCCATGAATATGATGATGTCACAGATACCTCTTGTGATAGGAAAAAGTTTCGTATCATGATTGCAGGACATGGTAGTGCCAGGCATTTTGACAGAGAAAGTCTTGACATCGTTGCCACAGCAGTTGCTGGGTTGAAGGATCGATCCTATGAGATTATTCTTGTTGGTGCTGCCAAAGGAGAACGAAAGAAATTTGTTAAGAAACTTATGGAATGTAAGGTCTCTAAACATCAGCTGATCATTCGAAGCCCTCCCAAAAATGAAGAAGAGTTGAAAGGGTGGCTGTGTGAAGCAGATCTTGCCATCATGCCCTCCAGTGAACAGGAATTTGGAATGTTTGGTCTTGCAGCCTTGTCATCTGGCCTCCCTATCCTGGTACATGGTGCATCAGGACTCGGTGAAGCCCTGAAACCTGTCATTGGTGGATCGTTATCCATTGTGGAGTCAGAGAATGACAGTGAGTGGTCTAAGGCAATTAAGAAAGTCAGAGACAAGGACTGGAAACGACGTCTCGAAGAGGCTGATTTACTGCGCAAACATTATGACGAGATGTACAGCTGGGAGAGACAGTGTGGAGCTCTTGTTGATGAGATGCTGCGGATAGTTTCTGGTATGAATTTCTTTTATGTGACTTGCTTCTGTTCTTTGTATGTATACATGTTCTAGCTCTAGTCAGTGTTCAATATATTCTCTGCAGTTGAATTTTATTTTCAATGTAAATGTAAACATGTATGTAAAGGTAATATTAAGTTTCATCTGCTGTAGCCTGACATAATGCATGACACGACATAATGCATGACCTGACATAATGCATGACATAATGCATGACATAATGCATGACATAATGCATGAAAATTAAATTTAATGAATTACAATAATCATAATTCTAAAAATAAAAAACATCCAAGTTATTAAAGAAAGTAAACTGTATATAACAGTCATGAAAGTTAATACCTAAAATAAGATACAATTGACTTGCTAAGATTAACTAAAGTAATATATGCAATAAAAAGGAAAAAAGGGTGGTCAACTAACTAATAAAAGCCTCTTTAAAAAGCTGTGTTTTAATCTTATTTTTAAAAACATCAAGGTTCTTAAACCTTTAAGCCCCAATATCAACATGTATATTCTCGTCACTATTCTATATGTTTCTTATTTTAATACTGATTGAGAGAATTTGTTCAAACATCAACTGAAGACATTTCATCTTTGGTGATCATTTCATTTATTCTCGCGATCTGCACATTTTGATCAGGCAGTGATGTTGTTAGGAGAAATTAGATGTTGGTCACTACTGGGGCATAAAGGGTTAAAGGAGAGTCAAACTTTATTAATTTTAGACAGGGTAGCCAATTCTGCTTGAAAGCTTATACCCATGGCCTAGGCACATGTGACACAAAAACTACATGTACCAAGCTGTTGCTTGAATGTGAGACCAATAATTTTAATATTCATTTTCTTTGTACAAAATCGACAACTGTTTTAGAGAAAATAGTGTAACTGTATTTACCCATGTATAATACCCACCCAATTGTATAATGCACACCTTTGTTTTTGACCAAATTTATCAGATAAAAATTTAACAGCTAAAAGACAAGCTAAGTCTTCACACAAATGTGTATTGAGACTACAAGAACAAGAAATTGACTAGATATCGTTAACACTAATGTCTTTTGCAACTTACTGGTAGTTGTTTGTGACAATATTCTGACTTGAAACCAAACTTTAGGACTTCAGGTGAGGTCTAGCTAATTCAATGATTCCATGGCCCAGTAAATATTATGAGTGAACAAGAATAAGTCCAAAAATTAATGAAGATTTTGTGTCAAATGGTCGTATTTTTTTCATTTTTAACCTAACACTATGCAATTTTCTGGCCACGCAATCAAGTAAACAACAATATAACCATGATGAATACCACAGAATGGGCTTTGTACACATGAAAAATTTGTATGTTTTTTGCTTATAACAAATCAAGAAGTACTTTGAATAAGTCTTTTGTCCTGAAATATTTCTTGCTCACTTTCATCTTGCTACTCATTGAAAAGTTCCATGTAACATGAGATCTCTTCACACGTGGCCAAATTTGCATATTCACTTTGAAATCTGATCTGTATGCCTGTTTGCACACTTGCAAAAATATTTAGCTATTTTTGTCTTTCATCTTGATTACAGAGTAAAAACCTAGTAGGCACCAATAATTTTTTTATTGAAAATATATTGAATTAAGGCTTTTGTTATTTTCTTTGTTGTGTTTTTAAAGTATGCAAATTAGGATGTGCTTGACAAACAATAGAACCTGTGTATAATACACACCATAATTTTCATGCTTATTTTTATAGAAATAAAGTGCGTATTATACACAGGTAAATACAGTATTCATGTTCTGTCCCACTCAACTTGTTGTTTGTGTTGAGCTGGGCTGTGACTGTTCCTAAATTCACGTATTTAGTTAAACATAATCAGGTGTCAATCAATTGTGCCTTTTTCGCTGTAACTTTACATCACTTATTTACCTAATAATACCTGGAACTCATTTCTATGAAGAGTAATTTTCAAAAGAGCTTTAAATTATTTCCATATGAGTTGTCAGTTGGAGTGTAATATTTATTTGTAATCAGCATATTCTGAAAAAAGGAAATAAAAACCTTCAGGATTGATTGCAATGGATCGCAGAGGATTTAGAAGGGGTATGGTGTTGGGGGAGGCTACTTTTTAGCACTTACTCTTTGAGATTAAAATATTTAAAGGCTAGTAAATAATGCATCATACTTAAATTTGTGATCTCATGAAGAATCACATCTATAACGTGTTAACTTTGGTAAAAATTATTATGATAGCTTCATTTTGTGTACAACATTGATTTGTTAAATTTGGTTGCTTGATAATTACATGATTTCACAATACAATGCAATCTTTTGGGCTTTTGTGTCTCATTTTAATGTCTCTTTTTTGTTCCCTCACAGCTCAACAAGGCAAGACTCATTAACATGGAATATGAGTGAATGCATCCTCCAGGTAGTAAATAATTTCTTTTGATGTTACAGTAACTACAAAGTATCGCTAGGTTAACCAAATTAAAACATTGTCAACCATGCATTTACAAGTGATTACACCTGCTCTCTGTCAATTCATTTTCAGTCACTTAATAGGTTTACCTCAGCAGAGAGCTGGTAAATTATACTTTTTGAGAGTTATGTGTTACCAGTACTTCAATTGAATACAAAAACAATTAATTCTAGTTATGTTGTATTTATTTCTCTGTAGCCTGAAACAAGACCAAACACCCTGAACTGGCACAAGAGGGTGTGAAATGAACAATTATTGTGTTTTCCTTCATAATCGTAAAGCATATGCATGAAATTTTACAATATAAATGACTTTTGTAGTACAGTGGCTCTGCTACAAACGAGTCTTGTAGGAAGTTCTAAGCACACCTACATTGGGTTGATAAACAGTGTCAATTGTCTACACCCAGGGAGGTGTGCAAAGGTTTACTTGATTCATGTTTACCTGCGACTTTTTTGTTTATGAAGACAAGCCTGAAAGCAGGCTCTTGTATTCACTTTTAGTAGAAGTATCGGTAAGCTTTGTTCTTTGGCTTATGTCAATAGTAACAAGTGGTGTTATTGTCAACACCTAGAGAGGTGTGCAAAGGGCATTATTACTCACACAACTGTATATATTGTATAATTTACTCGCTGGGAGTCAGGCTCTTGTATTTAGTTTGAGAAAGGGGAGTATGCCTTAACACTATCAAGCATGTTTGTTATGTTAACCTGTGTCAATTTTGCACACCAAGAGATGCGTAAAAGGGCACATTTTGCTCAACATCATTAAGGTGTATTGAATTTACTTAATTCAAGTTTGGCACTATACATGTAAGTGACATGTAACACTTTCATCCACATTTTGCAAAGATTTTCCCCTCTCAAGCTAAACACTGCCACAAAGAGTATTTTGTGAGAAAGTCTAAGGTGACCTCTAGTTGTGTGGAAATTATGAATAAGCCAACAGAAAAAATTTGATTATCATAATACCGTTAAAGTGAGAAAAATAAAAAAAAAAGAAAACCAAATTGAGAAGAATCCCATCATTAGCCACTAAAATTCAAAGTTTATCGGAGTACTTTCTTCCTTTTTTCCTCTCCTCCCTCTCTCCTTCTTTCTTGCTTTAATTTTAACGAATTAAGATTCACAATATAGTAAAGTAAAATTGTCACTATACCGAAGTTGTCAATGTTAGCTGCGACAATATACAGTGTATTTACTAAAATTCTTCCTCAAAAAGGAAGATTAGTATCATGCTATTTAGCTGAGCCTCTTCTATGATTGATTTTATAACCTTAGGATGACAAGCAAATGTTTCACTAAGAATTTGAGAAGTTGTCCAGCCAAAATTTGCAATGGGTCTATTGGAAATAGTCTTCAGTTCTGATAGCAAGATAATATCTAAATTATATTGATGAAACTAACATTTTACAATCATTATTTATATCTGCAGCTTATAACCCAAGGCACTTAGAGAATATCTCGAAAAAGGACATTGAATTTCAAAGAAATACAGGTAAGCTAAAGCTCAGTAAGGGGGGGGAAGTTCAGCTCTGTAAGGGGGTAAACTCATTAGCGTTTACGTTAACAAGCTTCTTTACCGATTCAAGGTACACTGGAACAAGCAGATAATTTATTAGAAATGATCAAGTTTTTTTCAATATTAAATCTTAATAACTTGAAGCAAATTTCCAATGTCTCGTAGGGTTAAATACATACATTTAGTTTAAATAAAATAGTTTATGAAGGTTCTCTATAACACTCGTTGTGATTGGCTGAACAGNGTAAGGCGCTAAACATGACGGCCAGGCACATTACACATATTACATGTACAAACAATGGTGGTCTCTCTGTCATTTACCTTTGTTATCATCAGTTGTAAAACATGACTTTTTTGTTGTTCCTCTTTAGCAGCAAAAAGCAAAAGCAGCGAGTTGTGTGAAACAAATAATTAATCAGCTGCCTTGCAATGAAAGATATTCCTCTGACAATCCAGTCAAAGTTACCATCCTGGCAACTCAATGGGAATGGCAGGGGTTGGGGCGGTGGAGTTCATATTCTTCAAACCTTGCAAAAGAGTTGTCCAAACAACTGGCAAAATTCCCTCAGGTGAAAGTCTCTGTCCTGGTCCCTGAAGGTTCATGTAATGTTCTGGGCAAGATTGATGCTAAACGTCATAATTTTACCATTGTTGAAGCAAAAAAGCGATGCGGATTTAAGGATCGCACTGAATGGCTCTCCTACCCACCAGAAGGCCTCACTACAGACATTGTGATTGGTATGGGTGGGAGACTTAACAAAATGGCCCAACTATTCAAGGAACGTCACCACTGTAAGAGTATATTCCTTGGTGGTGATGCTGTGGATGAAAGCCTCTCCAAAAATGAAGAATTGAGAGATGCCCTGGCTGAGAGTGAAGAGGAATTAGATGGTGGGTGCAATGTTCAACCAATTATGGAAATGGCAGATCTTCCAGTTGCTGTTGGACCAAAGATGGCTGACAAACTTTCTGCTTCCCTCTCTCATCAGAAAAAAAGAGTTTTTCAGTTTACTCCAGGTATACTCCATGAATTTGATGATGTCACGCATACCCCTTGTGATAGGAAAAAGTTTCGTATCATGATTGTAGGACATGGTAGTGCCAGACATTTTGACAGAGAAAGTCTTAACATTGTTGCCAAAGCAGTTGCTGGGTTGAAGGATGGATCCTATGAGATTATTCTTGTTGGTGCTGCTAAAGGAAAACAAAAGAAATTTGTTGAGAAGTTTCAGAAATGTAATGTTCGTATACATCAGCTGATCATTCGAAGCCCTCCCAAAGATGAAGAAGAGTTGAAAAGGTGGCTGTGTGAAGCAGATCTTGCCATCATGCCCTCCAGTAAACAGGAATTTGGAATGTTTGGTCTTGCAGCCTTGTCATCTGGCCTCCCTATCTTGGTACATGGTGCATCAGGACTCGGTGAAGCCCTGAAACCTGTCATTGGTGGGTCGTCATCCATTGTGGAGTCAGACAATGACAGTGAGTGGTCCAAGGCAATTAAGAAAGTCAGAGACAAGGACAGGACAGTACGTCTTCAAGAGGCTGATTTACTGCGCAAACATTACGACGAGATGTACAGCTGGGAGAGACAGTGTGGAGCTCTTGTTGATGAGATGCTGCAGATAGTTTCTGGTATGAATTTCTTTTATGTGACTTGCATGTGTTCATTGTATGTATAGCTCTAGTCAGTGTTCATATTCTCTGCAGTTAAATTGTATTTTCAATGCAAATGTATATGTTGAGGTAATATTAAATTTCATCTGTGGTAGCCACACTTAACTTAACAATAATTGTAATTCTAAAAATAAAATAAACATTTAAGTTATTAATTAAAAGATAGTATATAATAGCTGTAGAAGTTAATTTCTAAAATAAGATATGACTGACTAGCTAAGATTAACTATATATACAATAAAAAGGAAAAAGAGTTAAGTCAACTAACTATTAAAAGTCTCTCTAAAAAGCAGTGTTTTAATCTTATTTTAAAAAACATAGAGGTTCTTAAACCTTTAAGCCCTGATAGTAACATGTATATTCTTGTCACTATTCTCCATATGTTTCTTATTTTACTGATTGAGAGAATTTGTTAAAAAATCAACTGAAGACATTTCATCTTTAATTTGGTGATCATTTCATTTATTCTCATGATCTGCAAATTAATTTTTTTGATGAGGCAGTGTTTGTTGTTAGGAGAAATTAGATGGTGGTCACTACTGAGGCTTAAAGGGTTAAAGTAGAGTCAAACTTTACTTAGACAGAGTAGCCAATTTTGCTTGAAAGCTGGTACCCATGGCCCAGGCACATGACTGGACACAAAAACTACATGTACCAAGTTGTTGCTTGAATGTGAGACCAATAACTTTAACATTCAGTTTCTTTGTACAAAATCAACAACTGTTTTAGAGAAATTGGTGTTATATTCATGTTCTGTCCCACTCAACCTGTTGTTTGTGTTGAGGTGGGCCATGACTGTTCCTAAACTCACATAGTTTTACATTGTCAGGCATTAATCAATTTTTTCTGTTTTGCTGTAACTCTACATCATTATTTATTGTCCTAATTACCTGGAACTCATTTTTATGTAGACTAATTTTCAAAAGAGCTTTAAATTATTCTCAAAGGAGCTGTCAGTTGGAGTGGAATATATTTTTTTATAATCGGCATTTTGTCTGAAAAGAGGAAAGAAAAACCTTCAGGATTGATTACAATGGATTGCAGAGGATTTAGGAAGGGGTATGGTGTGGGAAGAGGCTACTTTTTAGCACTTAGTCTTTGAGCTTGAAATATTTTATGGCTAGCAAAAAGTACAGTGTACTTAAATTTGTGATCTCTAGAAGGATCACATAATAATATGTTGACTTTGGTAAAAAATCATCAGGTTAGCTTCATTTTGTGTAAAACATTCATTTTTTTTAATTTGGTTGCATGACAACTACACGATTTCACAATACAATGCAATTTTTTGGGTCTTTTTTTCTGTCTCATTTTGTCTGTTTTTGTTCCTTTACAGCTCAACAAGGCAAGAGTCAATAACATGGAATCTGAGTGAATGCATCCCCTGGGTAGTAAATAATTTCTTTTGATGTTACTGTTACAGTAATTACAAAATATTGCTAGGTTAACCAAATAAAAAAATTGTCAATCACTCATAAGTGATTACACCTGCCCTCCGTCAATTGCTTTTCAGTCACTTCCTAGATTCACTTCAGCAGAGAGCTGATAAATTATACTTTATGAGATTGATGTGTTACTTCATTTGATACAAACAATTAATTCTAGTTCTGTCGTTTTTATTTCTGTGCAGCCTGAAACAAGAACAATCAACCTGAACTGGCACAAGAGGATGTGAAATGAACAATCATGTATTCTTTCATTATTGTTAAACATTATATGCATGAAATTTTTGAATATAAATGTTGTATGGAGGCTCTGCTATAAACAAGTCTCCATAGAAGTTCTATCCACTCGTACATTGGGTTGATAAACAGTGCCAATTGTCTACACCCAGAGAGGTGTGCAACAACATGTTTACTTGATTCATGTTTACTTGCATTTTTTTTTTTTATTGAAGAGAAGCCTGATAGCAGGCTCTTGTATTCACTTCAATAGAAGTATAAGCTTTGCTCTTTGGCTAATGTCAATAGTAATAAGTGGCATCAATTGTCAACACCCAGAGAGGTGTACAAAGGGCACAATATTACCCACAACTGCCTATATTGTACAATTTACTCACTGAGAGTCAGGCTCTTATATTCAGTTTGATCAGGGTGAGTAGCCATAGTGCTGTCTAGTGTGTTTGTTATGATGTTAACCTGTGTCCATTCTCCACAACAGGAGATGCGTAAAAGGACACCCTCAATAACGTGTATGTAATTTTCTTAGTCCAAGCCTGGTTATAAGCAGGGTCTCTTGATCATTTCAGAACAAGTGGGCTTTGTCTTCTGGCTCCTCTAGGGCCAGTGTCAATGGTCAACACCCAGAGAGGTTTATGAAGGGTACTTTTTTTTTCAACTTCATATTAATTAGATGTGACTAATATACATAAGGTTACTGCAGTAAATGGTTTGAACCCGGGGGTAACATGTGAAGGTGTAGTCTGATCGTCCGGGTGAGTGTAGTCCTGAGAAGGACTGTTGTCGGTGGCAGTGACTGACGTTTCGACAACCTGTGCGGAAGTCATCATCAGAGTCAAGTGAGTGATTGTTGTCAGTAGAATGTTCTTATTCCAGTTCGTGTGAAATGATCGGTTGGTTTTGCCGTGATGTTATTGGCTGTAAGACTCAAGTGACGTAAGTCGTTCGTGATTGGTCTGTTTCTGGAGCTAATATCTGATCATGGTTAGATAGTTTTCAATATTGTTCCTGTTCATCAATAAAACAAGATAACTAGTATACAATAGTCCTGAAATGTTCATTTTCAAGATGAGGGCTAAAGACCAAACTTTGTTATGGAGGTCTCATTTTGACAACAAAGGTTGGACATGTAACCTGAGGATTTTAGGAACTTAAAAAAACGTCCATTTTTTTTCATAGTGACCTGGTAGATTCAGTCTTGATTTTGTTTATGTAACAAAGTGGAATCGAGTTGTGAATTTTGTAGGTTGATTGTCTTTTCCAAGACAAGCGATGTGAAATTTACTCTAGGGAAGCATTTCAAATGAATATTTTTGGCATTTTGTGTACCAGTACATGAGGACAAAACTTTGCAGAAGGGCGGGGACATTTCGGAATTTATGTGATCTACACTAGAAGCCATTGGTAACTTGATTTGATTTGAATGTATGACTCATTTTGGACAGTACATACATGTAAAGTAACACAATGCTGAGCATAGGTTTGTACAGTTCATTAGGGCACAAACTTCTATTTCAGTTGGTTAAGAGCAAAAAGTTTACTGTAATTATTGTATTTGGGTTTTGTGGGACTGTATTTTCAATAGAGAACACAGAAAAATTGAGTTGAGGTAGGTGGATATGGGGTTGCAAATGGATGCATTTAGAGAAAAAAGATAGGTGCATTACAAGATCAGAAGACAAGCAATGTTTTAATGAATCATATGTTGATTAGTACTCTGAAGTAACATTACATTAACTTTGCTAATAATTTTTAACTCAATGAAATTTACAATTTGACCTGTAGGTTTTATTTAACAGAAAGTTCAATAGAGTGTCACCATAATAGATTTCAGGAACAGTAATCAGAGACATAACTTAAACACAACAGAGTTCAATGTACAGGCAAGTGCATGATGGTATCATGTGATTGAAAGTACCAAAATCTTTCAAGTTTTCTTATTTTTGAAATTGTAATTTCATGCCCGTGTGTTTCCCAAAATCAAGCTTTCTGGAGACATGAAATGAATAGGTGAAGTTGACATCATCATGTAAATGGTCAACTTGACATTCTATCAAAATTTGTCCTTCAGCTGAAATCCTACTTAGGAATGCAGTTTCGTCAGTGTTTATCATTGTACATAAAATATCCAAGGTTTTGTTTAATTTGGTCAGCCACTGTGTTTTCAAATCAGCACAACCTACTTCGTGTAAATCTGATTGGTTTCTAGTGTGATCTATTGTTCCTGAGCCTAGTTTACATTTGTACATCAGTTTTGCCCTAGTGATACATGAGAAAGGCACCTAGCTGTTTTCAGCCAATCAAGAGTGTAATTTTTTATGTATATCAGTATTGTGACGAATTAACCAAAACTAAGCAATCAATTAACTGAAAAGGAGTTGTACTACCAAATTAAGGCCTAATACATATGTATTGTTACCAAGTTTAAATATCAGTGCTTGTCTGAACCATTATGAAGAAAATTTAGAAGACTGCTAAGCTTACAGGAAGTTATGAAATGTTAAGGTCTGAATAATTCTGGGCATCACTTGGAAAACGTGATACTAATCACACTTTAGTTGTACCATTAAACTACTAGGCTCCGATTCGTATTTTGA